TTTTCCAATAAAAATTTTTGAAATTCTTACCACAACAAGAGAAGTAATAATTATAACATAACTTTCAAGAAATGGTGTTGCAATAGCCGTATTACCACAATCACCTTTACGTGATGGTGTATTTATTGTTGGATCACAATCTGGTGGTTGATCATTAGTTAATGCTTGAAAAACACCAGACCAACCGGCAGTTGTACACATTTGAAAAAGTACAATTATTGAATTAGGAAATGTTTCAAAATTAAATAAATCTGTTATGCCAGCTGTTTTTCTTACATAACCAAAAAATGACATACCAAATATTGAATAGATAAATATGATAAGAAAAAGAAGAAGACCAATATTAAATAAAGCAGGCAATGAAACAGCTAATGCAAAAAGTAATGTTCGAATACCTTTTACTCCTGTATAAAAACAAAAAAAAACAAACTTTCAAAAGTCTATGATTCATTCGTTTCTATTAAATCAAACCTTTGACAAGACGTAATATTCTTCCAACACGCGCAACACGAACAACACGTAATAATGTTGGATTAACAAAATATTTTGCCATAACTTCTCCTAATGTTTGTCCTAGAAAGAAAAAAACAAACAACAACAAGAAATAATATGTTTAACATAAATGTATTGAACATCGACATACCAAGAATTGATGCAATTACAATGATAAAATCAAATACATTCCATGGAATAGTAAAATATTTAAAATTTAATGCAATTAATTTCATAATACATTCAATAGTAAATCTAAATTAGTATCAAATATATATACGATAGAATCAATAGCTGATTTCTTGAATCTTAAAGATTATAGGTTTTTGGATATGAATAATTTACAAATTTTTGTTACTATTCAGATTTTAGTTGTATTTAATCCATAATTTTTGTTTTGGACTAGTCCCTAACGTGACTCACGGTTATCACAGTCACGACTGTGACCATGACCAATATATTTCTAAAACTCGTGTAGTTTCCCCACAACAAAATTATTTCATATTCCTAACTTACCGAGACAATTTACTTTATATTTTCTCAATCAAAATAGCTATACATAGATATTATAGAAGAAATTAGAATTCAGGAAATTTTTACTTCTTCTAGATAATTTTTAAATTTTCCTGAATTCGAATTTATCTTGCAATGCAAATATTACAGCAAGAATACAATCTAATAAAAGTATATGTTTTATTACAAATACTGTCAAACGAAAACATGATTACACGACATTTGCGCGCAAAATGATTTCTTTTCATGAAATGAGTCTTCGTTTGGGTTTGAGTGTGATGATGGCGGAAGGTGGGTGTCACTGCGATGGGAGAGCAGCAGTTCAAGACAATCCTTCATGCATCTTCACTACCCTAGGGAAAATCTTTGATGTTTCTATGTCTGATCCTTAACGAATCCAATCAAGATCCTTCAAGAATTCGCTGTTTTTTTCCTGAGGAAACGACTAAATCCTGAAAGAAGCGTATAGCCACAGAATTTCAAGATTCTGGTAGGATTCCTAGCAGGATCCAATCAGGATTCTGAACAGAATCCATCCGAAGTGCATGAAATCTTGAAAGAATCATCTCTATTATTCCTGTAAAGATACTCAGCAGGATTAAGCTTGAATTCTTGTAGGATCCTGCATTCATGATTTCGAAAAATATCTTGATAGAAACCTGGATAGATCATAAATAGGTCCCTGCCTAAACGTGCGAAGGCCAAGAAAAGTGAGCTCCGCATGTAAACTCCAAATTTGGAGCTCAATTTTCTTCTCAATCCTTCTGTTATGATTTATAGCACCACCAAGAGTACTGGTAGCATTACCTTGGATGCCAGAGGCATTTCCTGGGATCCCACTAGCATTGCCTAGGATGCTAATATCAATTCTCTCGGCTGCTATGGGCACCACCTGAGATGCTACAGGCATTGCCTGGGATGCTATGAGCCCGACGCAAAATGCTACTAGCGTCGTAGGAAATGCCTCTGGCATCCAAGAAGGTGCCTCTAGGATCCCTGGTAATGGCTCTAGCGTCCCAGGAAATGCTTCTAGCATCATAGAGAATGCCTTTAGCAACCTAGGAAATGCTTCTAGCATGAAGGAGAAGGCTTCTAGCATCACAGAGAATGCTACTAGCACCGCAGAGAATGCTACTAGCACCGCAGGGAATGCTAATGGGATTCCAGGGAATGCTACTAGCATCAAAGCGAATGCTTCTAACAGCCCAGGAAATGCTAACAGCAACCCAGGGAATGCTACTGGGATCCCAGGGAATGCTTCAAGCATCCCACTGAATGCCACTAGCATCCCAGGAAACGCTATCAGCATCACAGGTTATGGCTCGCTATGAACCATAGCAGAGGGACTGAGAAGAAAATGAGATCCAAATTTAGACTTTACGCAATTTGGAGCTTACTTTTCTTGACCGCGTGCGAAACCCTGGAAAAACGAATTATCAAGAACTGCGGCAGGATCTTGAAGAAAACCTGACAAGATCCTTGAAGTCCAGGATTCCGAAAGATTCGTCCAGGATTTCTCAATGAATGGTCAGAATTGAGACTAGGGTAATACTTAACCCTCACACCCACACGCACAGCCAGCATCTATTTCCTAAGCCACGTCCGTAGTCATATCCAACCCAGAACGAAGTCAAGCGCAGAAAAAAATCATTTTGCGCGCAAGTGTCGCACGCGTAAGTGTCGTGCGCGAAAATGTCGTTGCGCAAAAGTGACGCTGCGCGGAAGAGTCGTGCGCGCAAGTATCGCGCGCGCATGTGTCGTGCGCGAAAATGTCGGCGCGCAAGTGTCGGCGCGCAAATGTCACGCGCGCAAATGTCGTGCCACGTGAAGAATGCAATTCTATTTTTGAATGAATTTCTCCTAATATGAACTGCATTTTCACAAACATAACGTATGATAAAAAAAAAGTGCCATAACAATGTCAAATTCTCAAGTAACTTGTGAGAGATCAATTTCGAAGATGAAGATGGTTAAGAATTATCTTCGAAATTGAATGACTGACCGAGAGCTAAGCGATTTAACCATATTGTCGGTTGAACATTATCCAAATATTGTGAATGAATGGTAAAATAATTTTCATTCAATCACAAGACACCAACACCAGAATTTAGTTGAGTTAACTCGAATTGTCAAATATTTCGAATAAAGTTCGCCAATTTGTTTGCACACAATTCGAAATGTTTTATTAAGTACAGAGTAAAGAGCATTATTGATTAATCAAAATATTGAAAAAAACTTTCACCACGCTTCTCGAAATTTCAAAGAATAGCGGAGAAGACACCCTAAGCCTCCTTGCGCCTAAAATACTGACGCCGCTACTACGATAGTCCCAATGACAGTTTCATTCAGTTAATGTTTTCAATGATTTTTCCAATCCAGATCAATGTTCTCAGGGGGATCATTTGAAAATCTGTCACGTCTCAAAGATTTCGATTTCGAAAATAAGATCGATAGTGTATATTGGATTTTCATTGTCAAAAGTAAACATAGATTATTCTGATTTTGTTCAAAAACAAGTTGTCAATGATTATTGTTAAGATTTGAAACGACATACAAACAAAAATAATATATCAAAATCAAAAAAGACAAGCCTGTATGGTATACAATGTTCTTAATTATTGATTAATATAATGAACAAACACACATTAGAATAAAGTTGTATTAGATTAAAAACTAGTGTCGTCTGTAGTTAACTTGACACGTTTTCGGTCACCTTCGACTTCAAAAGTTTGAGTGATCTCTGGAGTAAACCATATGTATAGCCGACTATTTTTTCTTAAATAAGTAAAATCTCTTCCAGTTTCTGTGAGCCATTGATCGATATCATCAATTTCCTGTATTAGATCACAGTCTGTAGTGAACACTACACTGAAGACGTGTTTTGACCACTCTACAATCTTTTTCATCTGATCTGCATCACCTGCTTCAACCGTTAGATATTTGACTTGTTCGGGCACTATTGAATGCATTCTGTAGATCATTGAATCGCAGATATAATAAGACATTGAATATGGTATATAAAGATAACGGAGAGAATGTGCTCGTTGGAGTAAACTAGTAGTAATATTGATGAGATCCATAAGAGGCACTTCAATGGAATCTCCATTCAGGAATAGTTTAACAAGCCGAGAGAAATCGACCAATGTTGAAAGATATTCAATTGCTTGACGTGAGCCGTTTTCTTGAACTTGAAGATATAGTTCAGTAACATTCGGGTATAACGGACCAGTTGAAAAATCATTCTATGGAAAAATAAATTTTTCTCAAATTGAATTAACTCAAATTAATAATCAATGCCGACAAATGATTGGAAACCTTCGGAAAACTCCACCGGTTCTCAGTCCGAATAGAATTTCCTGAAAAAATTTTTATATGAATGTTTCCGATATAGTTACCGAATCCGAGTTCAATGTGCATTTACGATAGAAAGACACAATGGATATTCTGTCGTTTTCGGTCGATGGATCTCTCTTCTATTTTTTGAAATTTTCAGATATCTCACTGCGTAGCTGGATTACATTGACATATGTCAATCAGAAATACTTGACCAGCCACATTTATATATAGCTCTCAGTTTAGTCAGTCTTTCACCAGTCAATAAGTTACTAGAAGAGACCTGTCAACACTTTTATCAATATATGCAAACACTGATGCTAGAGGTAATCAATAACTTCTGTCTACAAATGTAGTTATAGTTCAATATGGTTTTCTACAATGCTGAAACGAGTCAGACAATACTGACATGACACTAAAGGCAAATGATACAAAGCTCGAAAACTACATCTTTGTGGTGGAATAAAGATTAGTGAAACTAATCTTTCCTAGGAATCTGTCGGAAACTTAGCGGAAGATGGAAACAGTGATTGCGATTGGAAAGATATTGTCTAAATAATGATGCCTCTTCATGCTTTATCGCACCCCCGAAATATCAAATATCTACTCGAGTTCGATTGAAAAATCGAAGAAAAAATCCGAAAACAAGGGAGAACTCTGTCGGCTTCAATCGATTTCAGTGAAAAGATCAGTAAGACTGCCCGAAAAAGACTTTGTTAGAGAAGAAATGTGGTTGAACTCGCAGGCTGGATGAACAATTTTCGTATTATTTCATGTTACTTTTGCTAAACAAATCCCTTCAAAACAATGTTATTCATTTTTTCCTGCTACTTTTTCTTTAAAAGTATCATAGTTCTTCTCAATAATCATCGATCGAACAAAGAGAATTTAATCGAGAAAAAAAACGTTTTTCATCATGATACCATTATATAAAATACCTTTTTAGAAGTATTACGAGCTTTTGATGATGGTAATGACACCTGTAAACTGGAGATATGATTTTTCATAGCCTGTTTGTCAGGATTTGTCGTAATAGAAATGGACTCGGAATTTTTTTCCGATTCAGGTATGTGTCGAAAAGGAGATTGGACGCTTGGTGTCGAATAAATCGTTAATAAATGCATAGTTTTGCTATAATCACAAGTAACAAACCATTGTTTAACTTGAATCCAGAATGGTGTTCGATATGAATCCATTATTGAATTTAAATCATCGATACTCAAGTTTTCATTTAAGTATATTTCAAAATAAAATTCGAATGTTTTAAGATTACATAATTTTGTTTGAATAAATAGTTCCCATTTGGAACCATCGTAGAATGATCGGCCTGCATATGTCACCTTTATTTTGAAATAACGAAGTGATGAAGTCATCGAAACCATTGATTGACACATGTCGATCGTCATATTATCTTGTTCAATTATCAGCGATTTTAAATCTGATGTCAAATCAGAAGGTGGAACAGTTTGGACGACATTTATTAGACAATTATTATTCAAAACAAATTTTTCTAGATGAATTAAATTTCGAAGGATATCGAAGTATGATTCGAATGTACAATCCGTTACTGAAAGTTCTTTTATGAAGCATTTTAATGACGTACATTTGTGTTCTTTCGTTGAACGATTCATTTCTAAAGTAGGCATGAAAATTTGATCGACTTTTTCAGTGGCTGATGAGAAAAGAGCGAGTGTTCTATGATCAAATTCTGTCGAATCTATCGATAATGAAACAAGCGAAGTGGTGACCATATTTTTCACAAATCTATCCAAATTAGTATCATCTATTTGAATAAGTGCTAATGATTGAAGACGAGTAAATTGGCGTATATCAACAAGCGAAATAAATAATCCAATTAGACCAGGTGTCTCATCTTCATCAGAGAGTGTCATTGAAATAACATTTTCTGGACGGATTACTCGGCAAACTTTATCAAAATCTGGTTTCGTTATTAAACGAAAGTCCAGTTTGTACAAATTGTAGCTATCGACAATTGCATTAAAACGTTTACAGACATTACGAAATGAAAGAAAAATTGTTCGTACATCAATATTGTCAATAATTCGATATAAAAGTTCCAAAGGTAATGTATCTAGTGATGGTCTTGACATTCTTATTTAGTATTCAGTTCTACCAAATATCTAATAATTTTTGTTTAGCTAGTCGTTGAATGATGTAAGCAAGGCCAGGATAGATAAGCGAACACCTATGCTTTTTATTCAAAGCAGAACAGAAAGTAACAAGCTCATGTAGGCTTGCACTTTTATCAGTATAAGAGACAAAGATTGTCTTTTAAAAGATTATAATTCTCGGGTGATCATGTTTATTTGAACTGATGCGCAAAACAGAGATATCAAGTGAAACGATGCAATTATTGAAAACTCGAAGATTTTATTTAAACGGGTGTGGGTGGGGATGCGAAAGGTATCACCTACACCAACACCCACACCCTGAGAAAAACCGGAAGACCTGAAATGATTTTCAAAGCTTCAGAAGGTTTTAGAAGCCTTCACTAGATTCCATGAGACTTTATGAAACTTCGCAAACTTCAACGATATGAAAGACTATATGGAATTTCAAGGAATTTTATGAAATTTCTAGATCTGGTAGAACCTCATAGAAGCTCAAAACATTTGAAAGACTTCATCGAATTTCAAAATCAAAGGTTGGTGTAAGAGATGAAAGATATCCAAAATACCGAGAGATCCATTTAATCTGGACCACCCGTTAGATGTAGATCAAAGGTTATGTAACAAACTTTAAGCGAAAACTAGAAAATATTGAAACTTTGAATCAGTGGCGCCTTACTTTCAGAGCACTTTTTCTCTGCCGAGGAAAACATATGACAAAAGTATTTTGTAATTAATTACAGCATATCAAAAATTCAGAAACAGATACATAAAACTCTCTGTAGAAATGTATGAAAAATATAAAAATTTCATCAGTATGGTCAAACATCGATTATCGTCTTATTATAATTTCGTTAACCTTCACAATTCACCGTTAAAATAGATAAATATACGAGTATTGTAAATTTTGTTCTTATACATAAAGCCATTTTATTATTGTCATGAAGTTAATAATCATGAACAAGTATATGTTGTAACTACTATTGTTTATGCTTGAGTTTATTAATTTGAATGCTTCTGAAGTACAATTCATGTATTGATAATCAACTGCAGAGATAGCTGTGCTATTTTGATTGATTACCCAAATCAGTGATCTTGGGCCTGTTGAATCCATAAAAGAAAAACCATTTGGATTATCTATAACATTCTCATACTTCGTTGTAGAACATGCGGCACCAGCTCGACCAGAAACAAATGACAATTTGTCTTCGTTATTTGATACCTTAGTAATGGTCAATTGGTCGACGAAGCAGCAACATTCACTTTGAGAACATTTTGAGGTCCATTTGTAAGTACCCAACCAAGTTTGTCCTAATACATAACTGTTCATTATTGAATAAAATATTAAAAACGAAGTTAATAAGAAATTTTGAGCCATTGAAGTCACTAAAAAAATCATATAAATACGGCTGTATAGCACTGAAAATACAGTTGAAGTGCTCCTGCTATCATCCATTGAAAATTAGAAAGACTTTGAGCAACTTGTCATAGAAATCAAGAGCTTTGTGGATGTCCTCATGGTGTCAACCACGTACTTAGCTACTATAAATTTCTAGTGACTATGTGAAAAAACAATATTTTGGAATCAGACAGTGCTACTTCTGTAATATTCAAAGTTATTCACATTTCAAAAGTTTTAGCGAATTTGATTTGACTAACAGAAATTATGAGATTTTTTTAATGGCATAATAGTGAAAAATGATTATTTATTCGATCATTACGTTTATTTGAAGCATTAGCAAAAATCTCATCCTCACATTTTCTCCCTCACACTCTCAAATCCTAATAAAAACTTATGATAACGATAGCTGTCGATGTCTATATATGTGCAATGGTTTTTCTCAATTTTTCGGCGCATAGCTTCGCCAATCATTGTTGAATCGACAAGCAATGATATATTCCTCGTAGAAGATAGACTGAAAGTTGCTTACCCTCTTCAGTTCGGTATACAATAGCAATTGTGTTATCAGTACAAGTAATATTCGACTGCTCGGTCACAATGAGAATAATAATAATGCTTCGTTCTTATCTTTAGTTTGCACACACTGTTGCCTCATTCTACATAAGTAAATAAAGGGTGTGGGTGTGAGTGTGAATATGGATGTCGGTGTGAGTGTGGATGAAGACAAGATCTATACACACACTCACACCCACACTCTCGAGAAGGGATGAGTCATGTCCATTGAGGTTAGACCCCTGTTATCTGTCAAGCCTTCCGGATTTAGGCCTAAAACACCGACCAGAAGCTAACTTGGTGTCCGTGGCACACGACTGGGCTTTCCCAGACTCATTGACATATCTCTCGAGTGGGAAGAGTGTAGATGATTTGAGTCTGTCCTGTGCGTGCATGAGCGCAACGCTCGCTACGGCTCCACCAGGATGGTTCCTGGTCGCGCGCGCGCCCGCGAATAGAATAGACATTCCTTTACATCAATTCAATGCGATTTATTTGAAAGGAAAGAAAAAAAAACTCATCGTTTTGAGTCTATTCGATTGAAAATCGTTGAACACGACTATTCCCGTAATCGACGACATAAAGATTGCCATATCGATCGAAGGACAAACCAACGGGACGGTTGAGTTGATTTGCTCCTTCTCCGTAACCATTTCCACCCACAATGACAGTGCCCTGTTTTGCTCCTTTAGACCAACGCATCACTCGATCATTCACTGTGTCTGTCACATAGATGGTACCGAATGTATCGACGAACAGTCCTTCAGGATACAACAAGTGTGTCTGAGCATTCCCTTGTCCTTGGCCTTTAGCGACGACAATGCCTTCTGTTGCTCCTTTATTCCATTTCATCACACGATGATTTGCATTGTCTGACACGTAGACAGTCTGTTGTTGATCGACAAAGATGTGGGTCGGCTCATTGAGTTGATTAAGACCATCACCTTCGTCATCGCCACCAGCTACGATAGTTCCATTCTTGTCTCCTATTTGATATCGTCTTACTACGTCTTCATTGGTATCAGAGATGTAGAGATATCTCTGATCATCCATGGCCAATCGTGCACAAGCGATGTCTTCAATGAGGATTTCTCCTTGAGTTGTGCTGCTACGACGAGACCATCGTACGACTCGCCAATTCCTTCGATCACAAATAATGAGACTATCCGTCTCTTTGTCGATCAACACATCGGTTGGACCCCACAATTGATCCAACCGATTTCCTCTACCATGGCCACCAGCTACTACTTGTCCATTCTTATCATCCATCTTCCATTGGATAATACGATGATTGTAGTAGTCAGCGATGACCATTGTTTGATCATCATCAACGAAGAGACCTTGAGGCTCGTCGAGTTGATTGGTGGCATTGCCCCATCCATGGCCTCCAGCAACAGTTACCCCATTCTGTGCCCATTGAGCATTAATTAGAATATTAGGAATCACTACAATGAACAAAAAAAGAAAAGGAATCGCCGTTGTCGAAGGGATCCAGTCTCTTGTGGGAGCAAGCACTACAAATACGAGATTCGTCTTTGAGAATGCTCATTCCGCAGATAAAAATTCAGAAGTCTTTTCCTAGTTTCCTATAAAAAAGAAGGATTTGATAAGAATTCTTATGTCTATGTCACTTTTAGTTTTTGCCAAGATCTTCTTGATCCTAAACACAACACCTGAAGGTTGCTGTAAGGAGATTTGTCCGAGAAAGAGTAATGGTAATTTCATCTAACGAGGGAAGGCGGCCACCAACTGCCTCCTCGGTTTTGAGCTGAAATTCAGTTGAAAATAGGTAATCGAACGTACTGATTCCGAATATCACAATGGTTTTTGCCCGCTTTCGATTTAAAGACCCGGTTTTTAAAGATCTTGGTTTTTCAACCGAAAAACCATTTTCACTATACAAAAAGTTAGTTGATGCAAGATAAAAGAATCTCGTTGCTCATGATTTGGATATCCAGCGATAAGGTTTAAAGATAGCTAAAGAAATAAAGCTCGCCGATTTCCATACATCTCATGGTTGGCTGAAGAATTTCAAAAATCGTCATAGATTAACTTCTCTGAAAATTATAAACTTTGTTTCACACCATCAAGTCGAAAATCGGGAAGTTATAGAAAAATCAAAACAAAATTTTATTTTAGGGTTTAATAAAGTGTCATCTCACTTTAAACCATCTGAAATTTTTAATACAGACCAAACAGGTGTCGAAAAAGAATTACAGTTCAATCGTACTATCTCTTTCGTTCGTAAAAAGAGGACTTTTGCAGCTGCTCAGTCGAAAAATGCTACTACACACTCTTACACCTTACAGCCAGCTATCTCATTAGACGGACGGCTCTTAGAAACGATTTATTTATGTTTGCAGGAGCAGGGAGGTGAGTTAAACGATAGTCAAACCGTTTTAAACTGCTATCGCTCGTTTTTTCTCTTATCTTAGGAAAAATGGGAGAGCAAGTTAAGAGACACTTGTTTCAGCCGAAAAATGTCGTTATAACCTGTTCGGTGTCGAGAAAACTTACTACTTCATTGGTTGAATATTGGAGAGATAACTGTTTTCTTCCATTGGTTGGTGCTAAATGTTTGCTGCTATCAGACAGTTACCCAGGACCAAATCGCGAAGAACTCTATCAACCGGAAAATTACGGTGGTAAAAAGGTCACACGTTTACAAATACCACAAAATACAACTGACGAGCTACAGTCACTGGATTGTTATTTCAACAAACAAATTAAAATTTTCCTCAAAGCATATTATCATCGTGTAGCGTTGGATGAACTAGATATACACTTACACGAACGAAATAACATCATACTTTTAGCCAGTCTAATGCATAATCAATTGAGCGCAGATGTATTCACGCCAATGATTAAATACGTGTGGTTCTTCAGTGACTTAATACGTGAAGATCCTTCTCCATTTGTCAGCGTTAATCAAGTTTGCTTTGCAAGTTTAGGAACTCATATACAGTGTGAAGAAAAAGACTGCGATGAGTCTGTTTTTATAACCTGTGCTCGATGTTCGAAGAAATTGTGTTTTCAACACTGTTTTTACCAGTTATCATTTTCATTAAAAACACAGTAAATATTTTTACGAATCATGGCTCTGTGAAACTGCTTTATTGCCCCCTTTATCACAAATTGCTAATAACACGTATAAAAAAACAGAACAGAAACAAAAACAGTGGTTTTTCTTTCATAAATTGTGTAAGAGTATTAGCGGTTTTTCCCTCTTTTTTTAAATTTTTAGACGCAAAAAACTCACTCAAAACCTGGCCTAGAACCTTGAAAAAATTGTTTTCTGTAGGTTTGACAACGTGCTCTTTCAATTGGACAGATCAAAAAATCTTTTAGTGAAAATGGTTTTTCAGTTGAAAAACCAAGATCTTTAAAAACCGGGTCTTTAAATTGGAAACGGGAAAAAATCATTGTGATATTCGGAATCAGCAAGTTCGATTACCTATTGTCAACTGAGTTTCAGCTCAAAACCGAGGAGGTAGTTGGCGACCTTTCCTGGTGAGTTTTTCTGCTCTCCGAGTGTTTTTCTGTCACACTTAATCACACCCTCATTAGTTGATCTCTGTTTATCTCACAGACAGACACATTGTTTTATTCAGTGCACTACGTTTTACGAATGAGAATTGACGAAGATATTCAAGAAATACTGAGACCCTCATTATTTACGGGCTGTTCATTAGTTAACAATACCTTTGTTGTTGTTGTTAGGTATGTTAGTGACCTGTTGATCCATTTCTTCCTCCTTGATATAGGCAGTCGAATCGTATGCTGTGGTTCTTGTGAAACCTTTTCTGAAGAAAAAGCAATTGTGCCGGTCTGTTGCGTAGAATGCAGCTGCGGCGCATTGTTCTTCAGCTTTACATGCGATGAAACATTTGTAATCGTTCTCTTCAGTATATGCTTTATAATGACCAAATAGTTTTGTGTTATATTTTGTGATAAGTTTTTTTTTGCTTTGTATGAAAACGAGACTTTTTGCATTTGTTAATTCCGGCTTTTTCATTTCATTTCTATCAACCATCCATGATGCGAAGATAAATCTTTCCTTGCATCCATTCAAACAAATATTCTCGTAGCAGTCTGAACTATAATAAGTGTATCGATCCATCAACTTACGAGCGTCTGCCTTTCGCCCATCAGCCTTAACGAGCCCATTATAATCTGTGCGACAACGTCCACATTGGTCACATTTCATAGCCAAAACATAGTTCAGCTGTCGCTGATTTTCTTCGTTGGTTCTATTTACAGTCTTCTCTGCATGGTCAATTTTATTTGAAGAAATTTTTATCGTATTGGGATCCATGTTATTAGGAATGCACCATGCTATTAATGCATTTCTATCATACATTAATTCACGTAAATAAAACTGTGAGCCACAATATGTATTATCAGGATTATACGATGCGTAATGTTGCTCGTAACCAAATATTTTGGAAGAATAGAAAATGACGTCCCAATTGAAATAATTAAACTTTCTTTTTAAGATTCGTGCAGTTTCACTGGCATTTTTTTTCCGTTTGTCTGCAATTGTTTTTACAATTGATTTTAGTCCGGAGTTCTTGTTTTGCACGAATTCTTTTAAATTAGTAGTTTCCTTATAATATTGAATCAATTCTTTCACTTCCTTCTCGAAACGAGACGGATCGAATTCTGTCACCGAATTATTGACATCTTCACATGCTTTGATCAAAAATGTAATTAATGATGCGAATTTTATTAGTTTTTCACTCCACTCATCAACTTTTTTTGATTCATAACGCGCGCAGTTTTTGAAGAATTTCACTACTTCATTTTCATTGAGAAATCCTAAGAACGTCATATATATTTGATTTATTCCAAGTTGTACATCATTACAATTGGATATTATCATATCTCTTATTTGGTTTTTTGCTTCGATTGTTACAGTAAGATTATCAAGGTGACCCAATAATGTGTTCATGTTCTCAAAAATTTTATCATACTTCGGCTCTGTTTGTCTACATAGAATTAAATGACCCAAATTCTTTATGTCATTTCCGATTTCAGTTAGCTTCTTCATAATCTCATTCAGTTTCCGATCTAGGTCACAAGTTGTTGAAGATTGAAAATCAAAAAGTGATCCCGAAAACGAAACTAAAGATGTGATAGATCCGAAAAAATTGCTGGTGCCAGAACTGTGGACGGTGTCTAAAAGATTTTTTGATACATCTAATTCAGCTTTAGTGGTGCAAGAGTCTCTTGTTTTTCTTGATAATTTGGTTTTATCAAAATTGTTTGTTGCTTCCAAATTATCGGTAATGGGAAAATTGTAGTTAGGAAAACTTGATTTCACCATTATTAATAATGAAAATTGAATAAAAATTAAATTTAAATTCATCTTTTACCTATAAAAAATATTTAAAGAAAAAATCAGTTCTGTATCATTTGCTTGTCAATTATAATTCACTTTCATCTCAGTAGTATATTATTATTTTGGTATGTGGAGTGCATAGTGGGATGGGTGTGGGTGTGGGTGGGTTTGGGTGTGGAAATATTTCTAGAGAAGACCCGCACCCACACCCACACCCTAAGGAAAAAATCCTACCGGTTACAACTCTGACTTAATTAGTGTTCTTTATACTTTTTCTATTTATTCTAGTACGACGAATGTGAATTATAAAAAGCATGAGAAGGAAATAACATCCAAGCTTCCCTCTGTTAACAGCATTACAAGAATTTTGATATGGATATGTGCGATTGTGTGTATCTATGTCTATGGCGTATGAATGATATTTATATATGTCAGAGCTTTCTGCGAAATGGGGAATTTCTCATTTCATGGAACATTTTTCAAAATATTTACGTCTTATCCTCTCTCATCTATCTCTTGAGACAAACATCCACACATATAAAAAAAATACACATTGAGAAAAATGTAATCTAATTTTCTCGACATATATCACAACAAAGAGATCTCATCTAAATTTTATTATTATCATCTTACTTGAAGAATGATCAAATATCACAGAAAAATAGATTATTGTTATTACCATCACTGCAGATAAAGAAAAGGTCTCCTCAAGCTTTCTGTACGAAAATAAAGCATTTCTGTCGCTACTTTCAGATTGGCCTCAGTGAGATCATGTTTTGTACAATTAATCAAACAGATAAATGTACTACTGAATTTCATCTTTTCAGAAACCATTTGGGAAATATCAGGTTTCATGGGATGAGAGACTTTTAAAAATACTTCGTCCCAGGAAATTGAAGATTTTTTTAATGTTGTCTCATCCCATGTGGAATAAAAGGTTTCTATTATTTCATTTTATAGTACCATTTTTTCTGTCCTATGTTATCCCACGAGTAGGCCTGCTAGGTGTATTTCACCAAGTATCAAATATGGAAACGAGAAAATTAAGACTATTATATTCGAATAACGACTAATTCAACAGTTCAAGATAAAAGACAAATAAGTGTGCGTGCGCGTAATAAGAAAGATAAAGGGAAATACGTTCCATTAGGATACAGGATATTCTTCCGAAGGAGAGAACCAGTAAGTGCATGATCAGTTGGGAAAGAAAATGCTGTACAACTGGATGTCTTTCTCTCTTTTATCAAATGCAACTAAAGATAAGAAAAGGAAATGAAATCAACAAAAAGTATCGAATTTATGTAACATACAACGGAAATAACTAATGAGAAATATAGTAATATCAAACTTGAATTCTATTGAGCAACCACTCTTCAAGCTTCAACCTTCAAGTTTTCACTTTCGACTTTTACTTGACTGTTACTATAGTTGAGTAAAACATGTCTTCTACATGAAACGTATTAGGTTCCTACCTTACGAAATCATTAGGTAGATCGCGTATACTATCTAATGAGATTCTTAAGCAAGATCGAAACGCGTGTCATGGCAGCTTAGCTCACGATTTCCCTCAAGATACGGTATTATTCATCCTAGTACTCTATAATTTTCCCGTTTTTAGCACATTTTCACTCGGAGCATTTGTTATGCATGCTTTACTGAAGCAGATAATCATTGATATCGCAAATCAATCTTCCATCAAAAATCTCACCTTCAGTGTAGCAGTAAGACCATATCTAGAAAGGAGCCTTCTTGCGTTGAACCCAAAAAAAAATTGAAAAAAATCTTTTCAGAAGGAAGACTTAGCTTCTCAAACATAGGAAAGCAATGTTTTATATTTGGGCACTGGGAGGAAGGTCAATTAACATTTTGTCTTATAGATAAGTGATCAGTGTTCTTTCATACAGTGGTACCCCTAGTAGTTAAGTATAAGAACACAACTTTGCCATTTTATATGTAATGTCACGGTTTAGTACACCTATAGAGCTACTCAGATAACCTACTTCCTTGTATAAATTTGTTTATCCAACGGCTCGAGAACTCATCCCTCAGTCACATTTCTATTAAACACTAAAGTTTATTATCTCAATTACTGGACCTATGGAAAATGGTGATACTTGATTGTCCTTGGATTTTGATTTAGCAAAGAACCCAAAAGTCTATGGAATATTTTACCAACAACTTCTTTCTAGGATAATTAATAGTCATAATCCAAATAAAACCGAGTTATAACATTCATATGATCCTCTCAAACATTTTTTTACTGATCTTCAATATTTAAAAATTTTTCACTTGGCTTCCATGAAATAGTTTCCTTACCTTCAAGTGCGTCTTAATATATTGATCTTATTTTGAAAAAAAATGAAACAGTAAATGGCGATCATCTTCTTATATATGGTCCTTCTTTTTCTTTTTATTTGACTTCCAAAATCTATATGTTTGGGTTTTTTCCAACTTTATGATAGGTATC